TACCGAGGATATCACTGGGGGTGGCAAATATTTTTTTTCCGGACTCATTGAACAATCGCACGCGCCGTTGAGCATCGCTCGAACGCGTTCGCCGTTTCGACGAGATCCTCGGATTCGATGGATTAATAGAGTAACCGAGTTTATCCGTTATCCGTAGAGTTAAAAAGAAAATCGACGAGACGTTTCTTTTTTTTCTCTTCTTCTTCTTTACTCGCGACAAGGAGATACGTGGCCTTCCTTCGGACGGAAGAAAGGGGAGGGGAGAAAAGCGTGCGGTTTTATTCAAACTGGAGAAGAGATACTACTAACTACAGGTCGGCATTTACGTAAAAACGTTGACTCACCGCGTAAAAATATTACCGCGAGTAAGGAGTAAGAAGCGAGCCGAAAGCCCATGGAAAAATAATAACGCGTCGCTCTGAAGCTCGATTGGGGATCGATATTAAAAATATCGAAATGTAGCGGAAAAACGAAGAGGAGGAGGAGAAAGGGGGAGGGGGGGACGCGAAAAGGGAAGCTTTTCGGGGATGTTTTTTGGGCGATCGGTTCGAGTTATCGAGGCGAGAATAGATCGAAGCGACATAGCGTCGGGTACGATGTCTTTTTCCGTGTGCACAGGAGTGATGGTAAAGCAGGAAGCGAGGGATGACGGTTACGAGACAAGTCCGGACCTCGAGATGAGGAGCACCGGTGGTGACAGCAGTCAGCAGTACCACACGCCGCTGACACCGCACACACCGCACACACCACACACGCCGCACACACCCCTCACGCCGATATCGGCGACAGCGCATCAACCCCAGCAACCTGCCTCCACCGCTTCCACCCTCGGACAGGTGAGTTTTTTCTATTTTCTCTCTCCCTTTCCCCCCCCCCCCTGACTCGACGCGTGCTTTCAAGCGCCTTCGATCGAAATCGATTTAAGCATAACGGGGCTCGATCGCGAGATCGACGAAACTTTGGTAAACCGAAGGAGAAATTCGCGGGCCGAAGATGAATTTCTTGGTCGCGTACGAGCGACGATGCATGCCTCCTCCTTCCCTAAAAAAAAAGAGCTATTTCTCATTTTTAATTTCGATCGAAATCGCTTTAAGACTAACGGGGCTCGATCGCGAGATCGACGAAACTTTGGTAAACCGAAGGAGAAATTCGCGGACCGAAGATGAATTTCTTCGTCTCTTACGAGCGACGATGCATGCCTCCTCCTTCCCTAAAAAAAAATATCTATTTCTCATTTTTAATTTCGATCGAAATCGATTTAAGAATAACGGGGATCGATCGCGAGATCGATGAAAATT